GCTTGCCTGCCAGGGCTGTTGCTCGCGGCTGACCGCACTGCTCCCGCATGCCGGCCAAACCCGGCTGTTCTGGCACCGCCCTTGCCCCGAGCGGGAGCTGGGTTGAACCAATGGCTTTCCGCAGTAGGCTGGGGCGGCCATGTTGTGGTGCCAGGTCGGGGGTCCTTTCTCACGGTCAAACCCATCCTTTCCCGGTGGGCCACACGCAGCAAAAGCAGAGAGCTTGGGTGACCCCAACAGCGTCACAGCACTGACAGCCTGAGGTAGCGAAACGAGGCAGCCATGCTTTCTGAGGTAAACACGGCCTCCGTCGCTGGGCCAGCCATGGAGCCTCCCTGGGCAGCACTGTGCAAACAGGAGGTGTCGGGGTGCACTGCCCTAACAGGGACCTCAGGCAGCCCTCAGTGCCCTCCAGATGCCCTGGAGAAGAGAAGGCTGTGGGGAGACCTGATTGCGACCTTTCAGTACCTAAAAGGGGCCTATAGGAAAGATGGGGAAAATCTTTTTAGTAGGGCCAGCTGTGACAGGACAAGGGGTAATGGCTTTACACTAAACCCTAGGTTGGATGGGACTCTGAGCAACCTGATCTAGTTAGCGGTGTCCCTGCTCACTGCAGGGGGGTTGGACTAGATGACCTCTAGGGGTCCCTTCCAACCCAAAGCATTCTATGATTCTATGTCCTGCCAGTGGCCAACGGGGATGGGCATGCAGCAGGTTAATCTTTGGAAATGAGTTTTGAGAATGGTGGATAAAAGCTGCTGTGTTAGTAGGCAGGTATTAATAGCCACAATAACAGTGTGGTAATGGAATTAATATTCGCTTGCGCTTAAACAACTTTGAAAGGCTTTCCGACAATCATTAGAAAGTTTTCCACAGATTTCGATGCATAGCTCCAGATTTGTGCTTGGCATATCTATTTTACATATGTCTTCTGAGACCTGTGGTTCATTCAACCCTTGGTAGAGTTTGCCCCAAATTGCTCTGGTGCTACAGATTTCCTATGTGACAATTAAATACCACATCTTGCACAAAATGTGGTACTTAAATGGGAATTTTATATATGTTTTAATGGCACAGTCAGCTTTGGAAAAAATTCCTGTAAAATTCATATACTTTATACTCTGTTTCCTCTTTCTTGGGCAAAATCAGTTCACCACTTAAAAAAAAAAACATTCTCAACCAAAGGCCAGAGCCCTTTGTATTTGGGCTTAAAGCACAGACTTCAAAAGAATGAGAATGGAGGACTGGGTTTTTTAAATCATTTTTAGGAAAACGGGTACCACAAAGGTTTCTCTGATCTTATAATGGGTACTTGGGTATTGTGCCGCTGGATTCATTATTGTAGAATAGATGTGAATACAAAAAAACAAATCAAGTTCCTGTTTAACTGCAGCTTACAGAAAAAGCTAGGTTTGTCACTAAATGTATTTATTTATTGACTGAGTTTGTTGATCAGGATATGACTGTAGAGATGAAACATCTAACTTTCAAAGTCATTCTTGCAGGACACAGACAGGGTGCAATCACTCCATGGACATTTTTGACATCACTGCAGTCCACAGTCTGGGCTGCATAACATGAAAGAACATACATTGCAAGAAAGATCTGGTTTTCCTTTAAAGGCTTTCATGCTGGGGAAAACTTCCAGACATAAACACAAAGCACACACATACTTTCTCATCAAATTACCAAGTATTTTAAATTGGAGCAAGGCTTGATTTCTTTCACAACCAGCTTTGTTTTAATGATTTTACAGTGAGCATCTCAACAGCGGATGATTGGAGTAGCGTCTCATTCCTCTCTGTGGCCCTATTGCAAGTTAATAGGAGTTACATGAGCAACTGTCAGGCTGACCAAACCTTTGATCAGAAATGAGAGCATGTGGTGAGCAAGGAGTGCTTCGACTGCTCAGGAGAAGTAGGTATGGCTGCCCTCTGTGTTGCAGATGATTTTGAGGCTGCCCCCAGCACCGGGCTCACCAGAGTGCAGGCAGGCCCTGTGTGCTGAAACCTGCCTGACAGGGAATATTGCTGGTGTGCCAGGCAGGATAGCCTATGTGAAGGCATTTTCCAGACTGATGGTAGCAGGGTGGGAAGTGAGATGCAGTGACTGTGGTTGCTAAAGTGGCTGTTCTTGTATGTGGACGCTCTTAAAAGAGTACATGGGCATCCTCTTTTGAGTATGTGGACACTCTAAAATTAGTGTGAAAATAACTAGCGCTCCTCTGAAATAATGACTTCCGTAAAGTTATGATGATGAATTTCACATGTTACCTCTAAAGATAAACTGCAAATTATTTTTTTTTTAAGACTGATTTTTTCACCATTTTGTGTAGAGAAGGTTTGAAATGTATGAATGTTTTAAATATTTTCCGGATGTTTTTTACCTCAGCATTTTTGGAATGTCAAATCTGGTCTTTTTGGTTTCACTGGGGTACTTCACTGAGGTTTCAAGCAATCTTTAGACCACAGATTTTTTTCTCTTTTAGAAATGAAGAAAGTGTTTACACTTCTAAAAAAACCCATACTGTTTCAAATGCTCTTTTAGCAGTTAAATAGGTATTAATAAACATAAAACCTCATTAAACAAAGTTTTAGACAGGCTGACTTAAAGCGAATTCCTGTTTTGATTACTTAGCTTTTTCTTGCCTGGATCTTAGCATGGCATGATTTCGTGAGAGGTCTGTACATTTCCTATTGAAGCCTCAGAGAGAGACTTCCCTGATGGACTCGAAACTTGTTGATAGAGGCACAACATGGCTGGCAGGGCAAAGGCTGCCACATACCAGCTGTCTCTGCCCACAGAGGAGGAGATCTACAGAAGCCAGCTCTCTTCTGGGAACTCTACTGCTGTGTTAAAGCAGGTTTTGAGCTAATATATCCTCTTTCCACTAAATTAAATGGTACTTTTAACCTCTCCCATTCCCAGAGCCTTTTAGTGTATAGAGGGATGGGAAGTAGAAATACCCATTGATTTACACCACCAGTCCTACTTAATAATAGCAAAAGGAGTATGTTGTCTGAGGAAACTTGCCTTTGTACCCACAGGTTTTAATATTGATGCAGCTTTGTCACTTTTCAAAATGTAATTCCTTTCACCTATCAGTGGGCAATCTGTTCTGAGTACGTGAACCTCTACCAGAAGAAAACCTTTATCCTGTGGGACTGGGAAACTCTTTCACTAGTTTCTGTCAACAGCCAGTTATAACCTGTTAAAGTGAAAGTACTTTTTGGTTGTTTTTAGTCAAATCAAATAAACACATTTTCTTTGATCTTTAAGAAGTCCTTTCTTGTTAACTTGCTTTATACTTTTATGTTTTGGCATTCATTGTAAATCTTAATTATTTAAAAAGTTATTTTGTTTTAAATTATTAAAGCTTTTCTGAATTTAAGATAAACAGGAGCATGTTTTGTTAAAGATTAAAAATAAATTTCACACAAAACTGCAAAACGTAGCAAAGATAATAATGTGTAGGCGTCAGAGTGTTCCAAAACAAGACTCTCTAGGGGCTCTTCTGAACACACGGCTACGTTAAAACCATGTTCTGAAAAGGCTCAGGAAACCCCTGACTCTAACCCACCCTTTCCTGAAGCTGGTGAAAGTATTTAGAAAAAAAGTTACTGTTGCAGGGAGGAAAAAAAAAAAAAGAATCCCACATATTGCCGAAGCAGATGATTTTTTCCTGTTTGTTTACTGGCAAACTCTACAGCTTGCAGGATTTTCTTGAGTCAAAACTTGCTCATCTTCATCATTCAAATGCAGCGAGCAGTCCAATAGATGACAGAAAAAGTACATTGTTATCTTTCTGTGAAATGTAAACTTTTTTAATGTGCTGTGGCATCCAGTGGGGAAATAATACCAACAGTCCCTCATTTCATTATTTGATTTATAAGTCATTAGTTAATTTTAAGTGAAAAGATAGTATATCTTTAGAAATGTCTTCAGCTTTGGTAGGTCACACGAGGGATGCCAGCTGTTTTTTAATCCAAGTTACGTACTTGGATTAAAAAGAGCCCCTTGTTGTCTTGAAGTGATGACTTATTTTATAGCTTGTCCGTGCTTTTGTAAGTCTTGGGCTGGTATCTGTTCTCCGTCTTTATTTGCAGTAAGCCGTTGTTCGCTCTCTGGGCTTCTCGCCTCTGCACTCCTTTTGTAGACTCAGAGAAGCAGGAGGCTGTAATGGGAAGAGCCAGTCACTAGGGGATGCTCAGCAGCCAAACACCCTGGACCTGCCTTCCTCTTCGGCGCTTGCCCGCTGCCTCTGTTCAGTCTAGCTGGGAGTTCGGTGCTTCTGGCTGACCCTGGGTACTTTTTCTCTTCACTCGTAGTCCTATGAGAATTATGAAAAAGCAGCGTTTAAGACGAAAAGCAATGTATATGCAACAGCTGAAGCTACACGTGCAGTACCTGGGGGAATGCCGGCAGGAGTATTTCCCTACTAATGGCTAAATAGCTATTTTTGGTAAACTCTATTACTTCCTTGTGACCATATAATTCTTAACATAATCCTTCAGCCCGAGTCCAATACTTAACCTATCCAGTGTTCATGTAGTCAGGATCTCACTGATCCATAAACTCTTTTTTTTTTTTTGGCACTGAAACCAGGTCCCTCGTGAGAATTCACAGAAAAACCATTTTTATCTTCCCCCCTAGCCTGGAGTGATTTGCCTCCCAGAAGCATAACCCCCCTGCACATATAGGTGAGACTAAGAGCACATTTCCTGTGAGAGTGTCTTCCTAAGGGAAACCTTGAAAGTAATTAATAGTAGTCACAGCTGAAAGAA